AAAAAAAAAAAAACCATCTGGGCTCAGTGCCCATAGCTCAGTGAGTAGAGCACCAGCCATGTACATACACCAAGGCTAGAGGGTTTGAGCCCAGCCTGGGGCCTGCTAAATAGCAATGATGACTGCAACAAAAAGTATCCAGGCATTGTGGCAGGTGCCTATAGTCCTAGCTACTTGGGAGGCTGAGGTAGGAAAATTGCTTAAGCCAAGAGTTTGAGGTTGTTGTGAGCTGTGATGCTACAGCACTCCACCAAGGGCGACATAGTTAGACTCTGTCTCAAAAAACAGCAACAACAACAAAAAAAACCCAAATCATCTGAAAAGGTTTTTTTTTGAGACAGAGCCTCAAGCTGTTGCCCCAAGTACAGTGCTGTGGCATCACAACTCACAGCAACCTCCAACTCCTGGACTCAAGCGATTCTCCTGCCTCAGCATCCCAAGTAGCTGGGACTACAGGCGCCTGCCACAACACCCAACTATTTTTTGGTTGTAGTTGTCATTGTTGTTTGGCAGGCCTGGGCTGGATTTGAACCCGCCAGCTCAGGTGTATGTGGCTGGCACCAAGCCTGAAAAGAAAGATTTTTAAAAACCCAGGCTTTTGAGCAATAACTTTAGAGGTTCTGGTTTAGTAGATTTATAGGTCTCAGGTGAGGCCTGAAATTTTGCACTTTAAACAAGTTCAGATGATGGTAATGGTTCAGGGTCCAAACTTTGAGAACTATTGGTTTAGAGGAAAGCACTCTGGCCTCAGCTATGAATAAAGACAGCCACCAATTTATGTCTGAAGGAGTTTAATTTGGTGATCATCTCCTTATACAGATCTGGGAGCAGGCTGGGCTCACGATCCTACATCGTATTTTCCTATTTTAAAAAAGGAAGAGGGAGAAACAAAGAAATTATAGAGAAAGAAGCTGGGCAACTCTTGCACAGCCAGAAACCCAGCAAGAGAAAGAGTTGGCTAGCTTGTGAGAAAACATGAGTAATCGGGAAGAGGACTACAAGAGCTCCCGGAAGCAACACAAATCTCCATCTAACCCAAGGCTGCAGTCTTATAAAGCCAGCTCCAGGACTCAACCACAAGCTACTAGGTTTCAACTCTACTGAAAACTAACCAATCCCCAAGAATGAGATTTCAATAGTGGCAGCCTGTTGTCCTGCAAATATCTTTTAACAATCATGGGTTTAGCCATCTAGAAGATGGCCTGTTTCTGCAGCATCTTTTCATGACTCAGTAATTGCCAGTGGCTGCTGCATTATCATAGTCTCATGTGTTTCACCAGGAGGGCAATCTACTCCCGTAGCTGCAGCTCCCCTTCTTGTGCTTTGCTCTGGCTTTGGCACCTCAGCAGCTCCGCTTTGTGGTCCTGATGATGCATAGGGCAATAGCTCTGTGGCTCACACAGCATCTGAAAGGTAGGGGATAGACTAAGAGATTTTTTTTTAGACCTCTGAACTCTGCCTACTAAGTATAACAGAGAAGATGCTACTAGTAGTAGCTAAAGAGGAGCCCCAATTTCTTCTCAGAGTGCTTTGTAGGCCCTGTGGGTTGCATGCTAAAGTTTGTTCCCCCACCAAGTCCAGGCCCCTCCCATTATCCCATATTTCTTTTACCATGTATTCTGGAAAGAAGTTTCTGTAGCCTCCTTTAAGGATATACAGCTCTGGGTAGTACAGTGCAGGATATGTATTCAGAGCCCTGTCCTCTTCTCTCAGAGAGCGGCACCTTTAGGAAAATCAGAGAGATGAGTGGGGTGGAAATAAAGTTGGAATCTTAGAGGCCATTTGCTGGGGAGAGAGAAGAAAAAGACAATTGCTAACCCCAAAAAGGACCTCTGACCTCACTATGTTAGTTTGCAAAACAAGGTCCAAGTAGCACCACTTTTCTTCCACTGAGGGCTTCTCATTCCCAATCCCTTTTCTAACTTTTCAATTGTAGAAATATCTTCCTTCAACCTCCATATTTTTCAAACTGTACCAGAGAGTATTTATTTAGTCAGTCTCTGCCTGAACTGATCTGGGAAGTTCATCTCAAGATCCATTGCCATCACCCACCCTATCCCATGTAGACTCACATCCGGGGACCCCTCTCTGAGGAAAATTCACAGTGGAACACGATGATTATTCTCTTCTGGGTGTCCAAAGGGACAATGGGCTTCTTCAGAAAGAAGTTATACAGTTCTTCCTGACTATACAAGTTTAAGGCTCCCTGTAGAAAAATAATTTGTTGTTGTTGTTGTTTTGAGACAGTCTCACTCTGTGACCCCTGGTGGAGTGTCATTACATCACTCTTTTAGCTGGCCAGGGCCAGGTTTGAACCGGCCATCCTTGGTATATGGGGCTGGCGCCCTACCCACTGAGCCATAGGTGCTGCCCTAAAAAAGAATTTTAACAAATATTTCCTCAGAGCTTCTGGACAGTGCCAATACTTAGAAATGACTAGGGCTTGGCAGCCTGTTGTCCTGCTTCAAATGGCTAAGGGGCCAGTCACATACACCCAAGGTGGCAGGTTCAAATCCAGCCTGGGCCCGCCAAACAACAATGACGGCTGCAACCAAAAAATAGGCGGGCGTTGTGGTGGGCGCCTGTGGTCCCAGCTACTTGGGAGGCTGAGGCAGGAAACTCGCTTGAGTCCAGGAGTTGGAGGTTGCTGTGAGCTTTGATGTCACAGCATTCTACCCAGGGTGACAGCTTGAGGCTCTGTCTCAAAAAAAAAAAAA